AGTACAAGCAAGTTGAGCAGTACATGTCTTTCCACAAACTTCCGGCTGACTTCCGACAGAAGATCCATGATTACTATGAGCACAGATACCAGGGCAAGATGTTCGACGAGGAAAGCATTTTGGAAGAACTGAACGAGCCGTTACGAGAGGTACCATTTAGCAGCAGAAAACAATACACAACTGATAACCTGCCTTCGAACTGACAGTAACTCACTTCTGCATTTCCAGGAAATTGTCAACTTCAACTGCCGGAAGCTGGTGGCGTCCATGCCGCTCTTCGCCAATGCAGATCCCAACTTTGTGACAGCAATGCTAACTAAACTCCGCTTCGAGGTCTTCCAACCAGGAGATTACATCATTCGTGAAGGAACCATCGGCAAGAAGATGTACTTCATTCAGCATGGCGTAGTCAGCGTACTGACCAAAGGGAGTATTGGCATGAAGCTCTCTGACGGCTCCTACTTTGGGGGTAAGAAACACACAGAAAGAACATCCTATTCATACAGAAACATATCAGTTTGAACATTATAATTAATATCACTACATACAGCCAAATGGATAAACTGTGCAAAGCTAAACTGTTGTGTTTTGACATCCTGTTAGTGCATATCAAAATAAAAGTCACCACAGAAAATTCTGGGGGAAAAAAAAACACTACGAAGTACTGAAGAACGTTACATAAAATTTTTCCAAAGGCAGTAGAAATTCAGTTTTTAAGGAACAAAAAGGCCTTTAGGAATTTGAGTTTACCTAAATTATACCTGTCCTGAACAATAAAAAAAAAAAAAAAAAATCATAGGAATTACATAGTCAACTAAACTACTCCTATTCAAATTATCATAACAAACTTAATCATATTCGAATAACATTGTAAATTACATGCAGCCAAATGTTTTTCCAAGGTATATTTTTTGTAAGGTTACATTTCCAACTGTTGTGACATTTTGGTAACACATATTAAAATGCAACTTAAAGGTAAAAGGCCCAAGAAGAAATTATGTATTAAAAAAACATACAATTTTAATTTCCAAAGGAAGGCAGGACAACTGTAATAATAAAAGATAAAAGTATTAGTTTTACCATTATACTTGATTATCATAATATACAAAATTTTTACATTTCCTAATCAAAGAAAATTCTAAAATCACATAAGTCAATTAAATCACTCATTATCATACCAAACCCATCATATTGCAA